TCCATAGTTTAAGACTTGAAATTTAAATTTCGCTGTCCAGAAGATTAAAAACATTTGGAATTCCAGGTTTATTCATACATTCGTTGCATGACTGTTTTTTGTCCTATAAGACCTCTAAATCTTTCTTCAGTTCTTCTAACAAGCCTCAACAACTAAAATTCTATCATTTAATTTTGATTTTATGTGTATATTTCAAAGTACCACTACATGTACTGTTATAACAAAAACAATTAATCAAATTATTCCATACACATAGTAATAATCTGAGCCAATGCCAATTCATACAGTCCCTATATATATAATGTAATGTATATTATAGATATATGAGTTACACTTTAAACAAAACGTCATAATTGACAGTAATATTACTGCAAATATATTTCCAGATAATTTATTTAAATTATATAAATAACACATTAAATTATATTATTATTTATAACATATTATAATTAAAACATACTTAACATAATTATAATTAACATATTGTTATTAATATCAATAATGTCATTTATATAATAAGGCCGGATGAGATCACGTTGACTATAGCAATGAAAATGTCCAGGTATTCATGTAGATTTTTGAGATAGTGTTGGAACTGCAATCTTTATGCTCTATAACGGTTTATAGCTAAGATCATATTTATCATTACAAATCAATATTGTTATTATGTTATTCTATAACAGATATATATTTCATAGACACATATATTTTGCAGAAGGAGAAATCTCAGAAAATGAAACTGGGAGATAATATTTATAAGACAATATTTATATATAATTTTAGTGGTCACAGTAATCCACTGTGGATAATTATATTATATAATAAGTATAAATAGTATAGTTATGGAAAATCTATAGTTTATCTTAATTTTCTTTTATAATCCTATAATCCTATTATTGCTAAAATATTCACTTTTAACAATATACTTTCTGTTACTTATACGTCTTACTTGTGGTCTAAATGAAATGTATTTTACATAGACACAAATTGCTTCCTGATGCATCAGGTCAAATATTTATATTTAGATAATTACTAAGATTCTCATGTTTAAGATATTTCAAATATATATTCAGGTAAAATAAATGTAACCTTTATAAAAATCTAATATTGATAGTCGTAGTGCTTTTAAATTTATGTTGTTTTTATAATATCAGAAGACAAATCTGGGAGTGTCATGTATATAGCAGTTGTTGGCTTTTCATTTATATTGTTTCTTTATATTAACAAAAAAATTATTCAAGCATGAGATTTCATAGGTGGTTATGTTAAAAGTTTTGAATATGAAAGTGTGGGAAAGCTCACTCGATTGGGCTTAGGGCGACGAAAATTTAGAGGAAGAATAAAAACAAACAGTAAAAGCCTTCGAGGTGTTCTTTGTGAGCTATGGAGCTCATCACTGGTGGAGGATCTGGGATAGGGTTTGAGATTGCCACGCATTTTGGCAAGCATGGATCGAAGATCGCCATCATAGGACGCTAGAAATCGGTGCTCGATGAGACTGTGGAGAAGCTATCCTCGCAATCCATCCAGGCAATTTTTAAAGGTTTCCTTCTAAATCAATCAGAGCTGGATTATCCCAGGCATTGGCAATCACGGGGGACCTCGCTGTTCCAGGGCTATGATGGATCGATTCTTCTTGACTCAACTCCCACTGATGGAACTAAAGTGGAAAAATTGTCACTTCATGTCTGCCAGGAGCTTTGAGATGATCAAGGAAGCAAAGCAGAGGTTGGAAGCAGCTTTTCCTTTTCACTTTTTCTGCTTCTTTCATGTTTATGGTAGCCAACTTATGTGAAATTACAGCTCTTGGAATTTTACGAACAGCATGTGAAGAATGTCCAGGAAATAAGAAACTATAAGGTGTAGTATGACATTTTTCTTTTTGTAATTACAAAGAGCAAACACACTACCACAGAAACCGAAAATCAACAAAACAAAAGGAAGAGAAGGAAGGCTAGAGAAAGGCTTGAAGTTCTAATGAAAGAAACAGGTATTGCATACAAACCCTAGGACGTAGGTAGCTGACCACACAAATAAAGAAGAAAACTAGCAGTATTAATATAGATTTCTAAAAAGATACACTAACAACAACCATCACATGTGAAGAAAAATTACACCATAATGAAGATAATCAGGCATCAGAAGGAGTGATTAGAAATGCAATTCATTCTCAGAAAACACGACATGTGAAATGGAAATTGAGACTACTCAACAAGAAGGTGACAAAATATAGCTTCTGAGATTTTAAGAAAACAAAAGACAAATATTACCAAAAATATGAATATCATAAAGTTCAAATTTTAAAAGATAAGCTTATATGCAGAGACTCTCAAAATCCTCTATTGATTTACCTCTGTTGCTACAGTAAACCATGAGCACCATTCCAGTCAGATTGCTACAACAGGTAGCTTTTGATGCATACTTAGACAAAAGAAAGTAATTTTACATTGCAGATGATATTGCTAAGGGACTTGTGTCTAGCATCATTCAAAGTAAGCAAAATTAAAGTGACAGAAACATAAATATTGGATATTTCTTTCAGAGGATAAAGAGAATGAAATTGAAAATGAAGATGACAAAGAAACCTCTGATGAATCAGGTATGTAAAAGTAATTAAGTATTTTTCAAAATAGTTGACCACGTCTTTACTCTGCAGATACAGACTCAGTTTCTAACAAAACAATGATAAATTTATCACAAGAGAAATTGAGACACATGGGGATTGATAAAGCAATTGAAATTCGTAATATTGATGAGAGTGCAAGTATGTTACTATTTGCGGGGTATACACTGAACAGTTATGGACTACGCATGAATACTGGACGAGTGGCAGGAAACCGACTACGTGTTGACATGACAGATTTTACTGGCACTGAAACTATTACAGTATGGATGTACTCTGATGTTGCAGAGAAAATATCTCAGCAGTTTGCAAGAGGAAAATGGATTAAATTGTTTGGATTTGAGGTAGTACCAATTGTACCCAAGTATGACAGAGGCACATGGAGATATTCCTTGAAAATCACAACTTCAACCATTATAGAAGAGTTTAACCACGAACCTCCACAGCTAAATCTTTTGGTACCAACAATGAGCATTGCTGAATTTAGCAAGTTACACAAGGGTCGTGAGTCAGTTGGCTCAGTCGAAGCTGTGATGATCAAAGCCACACAATTATTACATAATAGTGCTGAAATCACAATTGCCGACAATGCAGATGCGGAAGGCTCACTGTCTGTAAGTAAAACAGACATGAAACTAGAAAAAAAAAAAAAGATTTAAAACTGTGTGCATGTGAATGGCAGGTCAAATTTTTTGAAAGCAGCATGGATATTTTCAGGGAGATGTTGACAGAATTTCTGACTGGCATTGCACCAAATAGATGCTTCATCAATTTACAAGGTGATGGTATATTCAAGCGAGCAAATGTTTCTGGGATGACAATAGTCACACGAGTGGCAAGCAATTCTAAAAATAAATATCTATCAGCGTTATATCGAGCAATTGGCACTAGCTGTACTCGGGTAAATACACACAAAAATAACACAAAGCACTTCTTAATTGTTTTTAAACTTAATTTATAGGTGCCTGGATGGTTCGAAATCGATAAGCTACGACCCATGTTAATCCACACTGTCTGTAGTTCATGTAGCACGAGTGTTACACGGCGAATTGATAAAGACACGGCTGCATGTTCTTCTTGCAATTATGTTGGTCCAGTAAAACAACTTCTATCGTTGAAAGGAATATTACACATGCAGGAGACAACCAAAAATGTGAGCATTCCATCTTATATGTTGGATGTTTTATACAAGTTCAAGTCTCCATTTTTAACTTGCTGGAACAAAAACTCCACCAAAACAAAGAAGAAAATGATAATGAATCCACCACATGGCAGTTTCTTATTGGGAGAATCTGATGATATAATAGCGTTTGCATCATCCACTCCAGTAAAACACATCCAGTGAGTCCATGATCATTATACTTTCTGCTATCACAAGGTGTCTATGTAAAAGTACTGTGGTTGATTTATTAGCAAGCGATGAGCTTATGGATTATTGTGTTGTAAAGTCAAAACTCATCAAATACGACATAAATCATAGAAACTATCATTGTACAATAGTTGAATGTTAACTGCACTTGTATACGATTAATTAAAAATGTGATTACAAACCATATCCACTTCAAGGCTCTCATATGTAGGCCAAGGTCAAAACAGTCCATGATTGTAATGCAAACGAATGCTACTAGGAATTATTCGTTCACATGCATTATACATCTCAAAGTCGTTTAGAGCTGAACCTGTTACAAATAAAATTAATAAAATGTACAGCCTAAGTAGTTCACCACAACACTTCTTTGAAGCTTGCATTCTTATCAGTGGTGAGTGTCCTATTTAAGATAGAAATACAACCTAGAATAAATTAGCTGTTGAAGCCTGTCCCAGTATTGGCTGGGTTCTTCTGTAAATCCACAAAATAATTTTAAAATCAAAATCATTATTATTTATTAATGATTTATTATTAATTGATAATTATTTTGGATTAATGCACTGATTTTTTATTAGTTGATTATTATTTTGGATTGATAATTTCTCTGTCACTGTATATGCATCCAAAATAATAATTGATTAATAACAATACAATAATTATTATAAATATTTATAAATATATCTAATAATAACTTTAAATAATAATATTATAATTATTATATGATTGATTATTGAATAAATTATTATTACTTTAAAATAATAATCCAGGTACAATCAAAATTTTCTTTCCATAATTGATTTGTTCAACTCTGTAGCTTCACCTGTTGCTGTTCTTTTGGAAGGTTATTGACAAAGCCACCTTTCTTGAAAACATCAGACACATGTAAATTATGATAGTAACTAATTATACATTCCATATAACCGATTTCATAATTTACAGTGATTATTCTATTTGGCTCAATTACAGCAAGATCATCCATTCCTATTATAGTTTCAGCTCTTCGACCACCTAATAATCAGTTCCAAAATCTTCCCATGGAATCTCAACCACCTCGAGAGAATCATCCTCTTCATCCATCTTGCATGCTTGCCAGTTTCTAATACTTCTAACCTGTTGTCCACACTCTTCAAGATCAGTTTTCTTCCTATTCAACTATGAGTCAGTTGACATTGTTTGATAGAATTCTAATTAATATATTATAACCACATGAATTGTTGGCTTTCAAATTAAACGACAGGGATACAAGTAGAACGTTACAGCTTTTAATCATTCATCAACTTCTACACAACATTATTTCTGAAAGCTCCAACTTGGCTTATATTTAGAAACCTGATACCACACACAACAAATTATAAAACAAAAGTAGAAAGAAATAAAACATACTTTTGCTTTCTCTCACATTTTTTCTTTTAAGTGTCAAGTCCAACTATAAAAAACTTCAATTTTTCGGTATCTCTATAGCTCTCGAGCTTGCAACGAACCTTCAGATTGTACATCTTTGATCGAATAGAGTCCATTATGGCTGAAAAACCAGTATAATCATCATCTTGTAGCGCAGCCAGCTTACATGCAGGCATCCCTACAATTTCATTAGCAGCATCATCAAATGCAACCGCCCATATATGTCCAGTGCTGTCCAGAATACACAAGTGTAGTGCATATTTGAGCTGAATATCTCCAGAATCACTGTCACAAGAATTGCATTGCCACATACTTTCTGAAACCTGAGTAACCTTCTTGCCACATTGCCTTCCATTGACAACCTTCATGCATGCTGGGTAATAGAAGTCACCAGTCTGGATTTCTTTCACTGACACAATAACACGAAAAATAGCGGAAAACTCGGAAACCTTCAGGTTGATAGACAACATCTCAGATACTGCCTTTGTACCAGAAATCACTGCTTTAGAAGAAGAGTTGGTCACATGGACAAAACTGGTTGTGTCGTAGCTAGCAACCATCCATTCACGCAGCCGTGAGACATCTTCTAATTCAGGATCAACTAAAAGGGTAGAGCCACCTGTGACTGAAATAGACTTGCCATTGTAATCTGAAATCCGGCCACCCTTCACGCATACAATAGGCCTCTCCCCTCGACCAAGTTTGTCCTCAATTTCCGAACCTTCATCTTCGGCCTTTGAATCCCACAGACACATGTCTATACTGTGGCCAGATTCATCGCTCAAACAAAGCATCCTCCTCCTCATGAATGCTCCAGAATCCTTAGGAGAAATGTTTTTCTGTCCAATCCACATTACACCACCAATCACGTCTACAAATGTCTCTTGGCTGAGCTTAGAAGCATCTAAAACACTCGTTCTTTTAAGAACAACATTTGGAATACGTAGATCGTCCTCCACACGCTTGATCTCCATAGTCTTGCTTGCTTTTATCTCCCAATTTGATTTATATGGTGTATATGCTGGTTTAGAGCGCTGCACACCACTGTTCCCTGAAAATATATAGACACTGCCTTGCTCAATCTCGCTTGAAAGACGCTTTGCATTCTCGCCAAATCCAACAATACGTATTTCAGAACTTTCTGCATCGGCAACATCAACTGACATAACACACCCAGCTGTGCCTGTTTCAAAGAATACAAGTTTCCCTTTGTGTGTCACCCTGGCACGTAAAGACCAACGGTAGCAGTGGTCGTTGATATCCTTAATAGGCATCTCATTGATCATAAGCTTCTTAGAACTCTCTCCCTTAACATGAAACAGAGAAAAAAAAATGTAATAATAAATCACAAATCAAATGTTTTGCATGCATAAAACTAGAAGAAATCATTAAAAAAATGGTAACGTACCTTATGATTAAACTTCTGACTTCGTTTTTTACCCTTAGAAAATAAACACTGCTAAGTCAGATAACAAAAGAAAGAAAGAATAAATATTTACCGTTAAAGGATCCCCAGCAACATCTTTCGCTGGTATTTGTTTCCATTCACCACACTCCATAAAGGACAGGTCCGAAACAATGAGTGACCTATCAAAATATGTTATAAAATGGAAATGTAAACAGGGAAAACATACTCTTTTCCATTTGTTGTGCAAAAACCATAATCAGTAAATCTCACAAGACTATTTACACGGACATCCCAAGAGTCTATGGCACTTGACACACGATAAGAACCAAATGCCTCCAAGCATTCCTTCTCATCTGTTACACAGAATCTTCCCACTAAATCTCCAGGTTTGGAATCGATCTTTGTAATACGCAGGACAATCTCATCTGTGGAATTGTCCTTAATCTTTTTTATGCCATCCACCGTGCATCTCACGTGGTCTCCCATCGTCTCTAAGAATTGATTCAAAACCTAACTTACAAATTATGTACCCCTTCATGTCAACAAATGCGCTGCCCAATGTACTGCATATCGAAGGCACTTATATTGTATGAGGAACATGTATATATATGTTATGATTACCTTCAATAATTACATGTATTAAAACTATGTATGTATGTACCTAATCAGGCAGTGAGCTATATTGTTCTGAATGAGGTTTTAATTTATTCAATATGAAAAATTACCATTCATTAAATAACAGTGCTGTTCCGTGCCAACATTAATGCTTCAGTGCATTCGATTTGTCTCATGAATGATTTAACACTGATCTCGCCATGTTATGGTTTAATCTCTTGCTTGCTATTACAGTGAGAAATGGGCATTGATGTGGCTGGAAACAGTCTTAAAAAGTGATGTCCATGTCACTCTGTGAAAATTAAGTCATAAAAAAAAGGAAACAGTATATTTTTCTAGACTGATCTGATCTGTGATCTTAAATCTATAAACTATGATCTTATACAAAAACTAAAAGAAAAGAAAGGACGATGGAAGTAAGATAAATAGCAAAATTTGAGCATTCTATGCTGGATACAAAAGATGAATGGTCGTCTTGGTTTTGCTCTTTTACTGGCTTAAAACAATGATTAAAACATGATATAGATTAATGACATTACAATAGTAATATGTATGAGACATTTCATAGGGGATTTTCTTACAAATCTAATTGACCATCGTAATTTCCAAAGAACACAAAGAACTCATTCCTGTTTGCAAGACAAAGCCTTCTGAGCCAAAGTACCGAGTTTTCTTTTTTTCTTAGATACCTCTGTCGCCACTCGTGAAGTGCTCTTATCACCATCTGAAAGCATTGTCGCAGAGGCTTCCACTGCATAATCACATATGTTCTCACTTGGTAACAATGTCAAAATGTTGCTATGGCCTCATGCTCGCCATAGGTGCTCAATCTAAGAATGCTCACCTGGTCCAAAGTTGAGCAAAAGCTCCCAATGTCTCCTTTTGTCCTTGTCCATGCCACTGATCCCACCCTGTGCCGGTCATAGCCTGGTAATTTTTTAGCTTTATACTTTCATACAATATTCCCGAGTGTTTTCAGATTCTGAAGAACAGGATGCTGTTTGTTGGTGGCCACTTGAGAAACCCTTGACTCTGTCAGGTTAATATAATGCATTTCAGTGTCTCACTTCAGTGCTCTCTATCTCCAGTTCATGTTTTTGAACCTGAGATTGACCATTTACTGTTTGAGGGGCCAGTCTATTTCGCTGATCGGATCCTGCTTTAGTGGAGTCATGTTAGGTGGAGAAGACTCCAATAGGTGTTTGCTCAATGACCTCAACATCTTTGATTTGGAAACAATGACATGGGAAGCTGTCAATGCAATATAAGCCAGCACAGACGTATATCACATGTGAGGTATGCTATTTTGATTATCCTTGCTGGCCTTACTCCAATTCAATTTGTCATTTTCTGTCCTGCCTAGGGATTGAGTCTCATCTTCATGTGTTTGAATGGTGAAGAAACAATAATAGCCTTGGTTGTTTTTGAGACTGTGACTTGTATTGAGGTGGAAGCTGTCAGATGCATGTACTGAAGACATGCAAAAGCCAATCAGAGGTGTCTCCTGCTCCGAGTGTTGGTGGAAGCCATTTTACAGAGGTTGGAGAATCTGCAAATGTGCCCGAGAGCTCAATAATTTTGAAAGAACCAATAGATCATCAGCCTATGGTATCATGTTTTTGTGCATCTCTTCCCTGTTTGATAATGTTATTTTACTTCTTTCCAGGAGAATGGCAGATACAACACACCAAAGTTGCTGGAGCTTAAACAGGAGCTTGAGGTGGCTCTAGCATCACGCTAAGAAATAGCATGTACAGCTATGACTGGTCGAATATGGAGAAACCCTTAGCTTTTGTGAATTGCTTTAATGGAAAGGAGCTTATGCAGCATGATAGTTCATGGCAGAATGAAGTAGAGGCACTCCAGGTTTGGCATTCTTGTTGGATGTCTCTATGCTTCTCTCTGAAAATGACGAAAAGAATGAGATTGCTACGCTCCAGGTCGTGTCGGTGCTGCTGTTGTCCACCAGCAGTGACATTCCTGCCAGTGTTTCTTGCGGCAAGATCAAGATCATCATTGAGTTTTAGGCAAATTGATGAAGATGCCTGGAAAATGAGAGATGAAAACAAGAATAGAAAGAAAAAAAAAGAACCAAAAAAGCTCTGGAAATATCTGTATAGTTGAGGCCAGAGGCTCTGTATAGCTGTGAGAAGATGCTCTGGAAATGATTGATTAGAAACTTGAGGAGTCTCTTGATTAGAATCTTGGAGGGGTCAGGAAAACTTTCTAGCAGAGAGTAGAATTTTAAACCTTGGGAGAAAAGAAAGCTTGGATGACAAAAGCAAAGTACCTTGAGCATATTGCATTGCATAAAATCCTGTCTTCTTAAGACAAGAGGACATTGTGCACATCCAAAATGTTCAAGTCATGTCAAAAGTGTTTTTAAGAAGAATTTTCAAATAGAGACAGACTTGGATAGGACATTTAGATTCATACCTTGTCAAGATGCTCTCCATGTGCTTGAAAAAACTTTGGGAGGATGTAACGAGAAGGATTCCAAGCTGATGGCATTACTTGCATGTGCTTCTTGATGGCTTACAATCACTAGCCATCGAGTGATAAGGAGTGGAAGAATTGGTGACAAAATAAATGGAAAGTGTGCATTTCAATGGTAAACCTTGTTTTAGTCATTTTCTTGGAAAAGAATTTTGAACTAGAGAGGATAAATGTTGGTGATTTAGTGTTCTACATTTTTTTTCAAGTGTTTTAGGTTTTTGTCGTGATGAAGCAAGAGTAGTTACAACATTTTACAAAATTCAAATAAGATCTGGAAGATGAGTGGTTGAATTTCCATATTTATGGGAATTTTTTTAGGACTCTGAGCATTGCTTCTTGGCAGACATTTTTTAAAGAGTCATGTGTTAAATGTTCATCACAATAGTGAAATTCCTCCCTATTTTCAACTAAGAAAAAAATTACATAAGAGACCACTAAATCTCATTACTGAGAGAATCACAATAAATCATTGTTCTATTGTTTTATTTTATAAAGATGTGTTGTTCTATTCCAAAGTATGTACAACTACATCTTCTCAAATTGAAATGTTCTCTACTTCTCCCAGTGGAGTTGGGGTCCCTATTAACGTGTGTGTCCATGAACCCAATGTTAGAGTTGGCAGCTGGATAGCGGAGGCTTTACCACGATCACCTGCAAGTAGAGGTGTAATTGGCAGCTTCATTCTCAGTCACTGTGCAGGCAGGTTCCCACAGTCTCGGAAGGATGCACTTCACAGCATGACTCATCAGCTCAGTAGTGAGAATGTCTTAGTAATTGTTACCAGAGGTGGCCAGCACTAAGCAAGTAGGTTGTTATTGGTGACATGGTATGCGATGTACTACTGGAGCCATCAGATTGGCTCTTGCAATGAACAGAGCTGACTGCTTGGAAATGCACACTCCAGGTGAGGGATGTGAAGCCAGTGCTGGTGGTGTAGGCACCAAAGAAAAGGCCAAACAACTGACTGCTGCTGATGTCATTGGCCTCTGCCCACCACCATTTGTTTTATGTGGCGTCCAGCTCACAGCTAGGAAAGGAAGTTAAAGTTCTACTGTGCTTTGCTGAAAGAAGCCAGGTTAGTATGTTAACAAAGTTGGGTACCACCATCTTCTGACTCACAAAGCCCAACTTAACATACACACTGACAGTAAAGCTGCATGACTCTTTTTTACATGCTTTTCTTTTCCATCCCAAGCCAAGGAATGAATAGGCCTTTATTTCACCATAGGATGTCGTGAATTATTATTGTAATTTCTTTGTACTATACAATATATGCTATTAAGGCAATCCTAGGAAGACCTCATTTTGGTAATTTTTGAAGGAAATGAGCATATTTCCATTGCATCACTCCACCAAGCAAGATAACAGTAATACAGTTACTCATTAGCATTTAGACCGCAGCCCTGTTGGGCAAACAAACATAAATTTTGAATGAGCTGTACACAAACATCCATTTTTTGCTATCAAATTTGGTGGCAACAATGAATTCCTGAAGTACCATTATACTCTTTTTTTTGGTTTTGAAGTTATGCTTAATCAACTTAGCCGCAAAGACTCATGGCAAAGCTCATTATCATTGGATAAATTGCTAAAAGACTTGCTAGCAGTGGGGAGGATGCAAGGAGAGAATTAATGGAAACACTACTATATTTCCTCCTTTTCCCCTCTTTCCATTTTTGTTTTGAGAAACTATGGCCTATCAGCATTAGAAAAGGACAATCCCAAGATCTTTGCCAGTAATTCTTCCCCTCTTATATATGGCAAGAGTGGATGCAAGTTCTTAGCACTTGTATCATGCACCTATAAAGTTACTATGACTAACTTGTAACATCAAAAGTTGTAAATGACTATTAACACTTTTTTAGACAGTGTTGAAT